GGTTTTAGTTCGGGAAGACCATGTGTTCTTCTTTAAGTGTCGTCTCCCAAAGGTTGGATATCATCATCACTATCTTTACTCTACCTACTGCTGCTCTGAAGAGTTCTATAGAACTGCATTTAAACCAGTCCCTTAAATTATTCGACACTCTCCTTCCTCCCTTTATCTTTCCCTGTATTATCAGCCTAGTTCATATCGCTGTTCCCGCATTACGTGTTGCAGATATTGTAACTTTCTTATCTTTATTGTGTATATTATTTCGCATTCTTTGTCCATTTCTCGCAATACTTGAGTGTTAGTTTTATTCTCTGTCCATGCTATTCTAAGCATCCTCCTGTAACACCACATTTCAAAAGACTCATAAGTTAAATCTGTGTTCTTGCTTTAATGTCCTTGCTATTTCTATCCTGGCTCTTATTTCGGTTGTTTGATAATTATTGTCTGAAATCCAGGTTTCTAGGTATTTGTATTTATCAACCCTTTCTATCGGCACATTTCCCAAATATATGTTTGTTGGTATATTTGTTTTCTTTGTTATTATCATGTATTTGGACTTTTTATATTAATTTTTAGTCCATATTTTTCACAGAAACTGTTTGTATTAACAACATATCTTATGTTGTTAATAGGTCTTCCGTTAATTATTATTCCTTCACTTATTATTACATCCCTGCCTAACTTTTCTCCTGATTTCAACTTCTGGGCTGGGTTCGTTATCTAGTACGATTTGTGCTCTTTGATTCCAGTAGAGGTTTGTTATTATTCATAAGTTCCTAGGGTCTATGTATTTTATCTTTAGAATTTGGACTAATTTTTCATGTCTTACTTTGTCAAATGCTTTTTCAAAATGAAGTACTATAGATAAAAGATAGGAAGATCATGTACCGACGATGTATTTATAATGAGGCAAGTGCAAGAGAAATCAGTATAATACAACAAACCGGAATATTTATGTTTCGTGGACCTTAAGAAGGCGTTTGACCGGATTAAATTAAAGGACGTTATCCATTTATTGTACGCAAGAGAGATACCTCTAGGAATAATCAAAACGATCGAAAATATTTACTAAAACAACACAATAAAAGTCCTCTATTGTTCAACCTGATTATGGATACAATAATAAAAAAAGTCAGAACTAAAGATGATACCGAATGTTAGAAAATCAACTTAAAATAATCTGCTAAGTAGACGACGCTATACTACTCTCTCAAAGTAAAGATGATTTACAACGTTTGCTGCACCAATTTAGTAGGTATAAAGGTCAGAAAATTTAACATGTTAATTTCCCCAAAAAAGCCCAAAATGGATGGTTATAACGGCAAATTTACTAAGATGTAAATTGGAGCTGGAAGGTCAGGTAATAGAACAAGCGTGATGGAGTTTAATTATCTATTCATCACATTATCTAGCTACGGAAAGCTCAAAACTTTAGCAAACAACGTCACTGGTTCCCTTAATGAAACAATATGGAGAAATAAAATTATCAGGTAAGACTGAAAGGCAGAATTTACAAAATAGTCAACAGACCCATAATTACATGCGTTTCATAAATACGGCATGACACATAGAGGACAAAAAGGTTGTTAGAAACAGCAGAGATGAACTATGTTCTATGATTGTAAATCAACAACAAATCAACTACTGAAAAAGCACTTTTGTCACTTATTTATCTGATACATAAAATAAAATACAATTTACTGATATATAAATAAATTTAACATTTTATTTCATACTGTAAACAAAATACAAATGTTATCAAAACTTCTTATGAAAAATACTTTACCCTACTTTGATAGAGTAATAAAAAAAATAATATTACATTGTTTCATTTTGTGTTATTTTATTGGTTACGGAACGCCATCTGTATTTACAAACAAACATACACATAAAAATTTTCAGTTTGGATTGGAACCATTCAACATGGCGAATATAGTAAACGCTGACTATTACCATTACCCGACACGGATAGATGGCGCTCTCTGTCCACTTTTAAAACCCTGATAATTTTAATAGATAATAAAAAAAAACTAAAATAAAAAAAGTGCAACAAAGTAATAACTTGATGGTGATTTCTGACATGTTTATATAATACACAAGGTCAATACTATACTACGCATCTGTAATTTGTTATAATATGTTAGCATAATAAAAATATCAATAAAAAATACTTATTAGAAAAATATAAAATAAACATGAAAATTGTAAATTTGACGAATGGAAATAAATATTTATCACTTCTTATCAATCAATCAAAATTTACTTTTTTTGTTCACACATTTTCTAAACCATTTTATTTTAATTCTATTTTTTATCTTCTGTAATACCAGCTCGTTTAATATTTTTACTTTTGAAGATATATTTTATTTGAATTTATATACCTACAGGTATGTTATCAGTTTCCTCATACTGAGCAAATAATATGTGATTATTTCGACCAAAAAAACAAGAAGCATGACGTCTGAATCAATATTGGAACTGATGTCCATTATAGAATAAGCAGATTACTTAAAATATAAGACAAATAAAGTTACAATGGTATTGTAACGTATACGGGATATTACCTGAAGAAATAAGTACCACATAATGTAGAAGCTATACTTACGCTATTCTATCTAAACCGGCTAAATACGAGCAGAAATACGTCGAAACGAAACTTTGGGAAGGATAGCAAGAAGCAGTCTTATGGACCTAGTAGACAATTAAAGAAATCAGAAATATGTGTATAGTAGACTATAAACTGAAAACAACATCTATATGTCTGACACGATCAAATAACAACATTGTTAAGAGTATTATGGACAGATAAACATTTTTTCTTCTCGGAAAGCTTTTTCTAAGATTATTCAAGCCAATTTGGGACAGATACAGACTACTCTACTGTACCGTTTTTGCATTTGTATACTATTTATTTTTGTTCGAATAAATCCATTCGAACATTTAAAAATAATTTTAATTTTTAGAGACTAAACTAAGACATATTAAGTTCAAAAAGGCTCCCCGGCACCAGGCACCTGCCAACGGCCACAAAGCAAATTAAGACGGCGACGAAGCAACATCTCTGTTGGCTGAAGCTCTCAAAAATCCACATACACTTATATAGTGTTCTACGATCTGTTAGAAATTTGTTTCGCTTTTAATATATAAGTACAAGCAATTAATTATCAGGTTGTAGTGCTTTTTTGTGTAAAACAATATGTTTGTTTAACAAGGTTTTGTGCATAGTGTTCTTGGTATCCTTAGACACCCAGGATTGCCACATCTTTACATTCAGGATCTGGGTGATAGTGACTTGGATCGATAATAGTGCATACAGACAATCAAAAGACTTGTGTTAACTAGCAAGTAGTAATGTAGTTCTAGGCTTTTGTTTTTGTTTTCTGTTCTAGTTCGGTAGTATTTAAGACATTACTAAAATACAGATAAAACCTCTCATATTTGAACCCAGCAACCTATGTTACACACTCTTTCTCTTTTATGACATTTTTCATGTTTGTCCTATTGTATAGATACCAACTTTATGTACAATTTTATTCTCACGAAATGAGATGAATTGTTGTCAGGCTTGCGGCGCTCAAACTGTACCGAGGCTCGAATCCTCCAGAACTCTCCAGCTTTCTCCGGCATCTTTTAGGCAACATTATTCCCTCTTTGTCATACACCTCCGGTCATAGGCCCGATGGTGTTACCTCGAGATAGGGCAGCGCAAATTTCACTACATGACTAACTGGTGATTTGTCGACTGAACGTGATGTAGCATGTATTAGTTGATATGCGGGTGTTTATTTGGTTATGTATACCCTATTCATATCTGAGATATTATCCTATACATATATCTGTAATGAAATTATAATTTCATCATTTAAATATTGCCGCGCTCTACTGAGCACATTAGCTGGAACATTAGCCACAGACATTTCTGTCAGCTATATATTTAAAAACCTTTAAGATTTTATTTGTGGTAGAATTTTCCCTCCCAATCTTTTTTTGCGCAGTCCTACTTGGTTTATAGTACTCCGTACAGTCTCAGATCGGCATAGAACAAATAAAGTTAATAGTATGAGCACTAGAAATAATCCTCAAGACATACAGTTGTAGCTGGCAGTGTACATCGCAAGCAAACCTTCATTAATTTATTAGGCCATATGTCTAACCGATGAGTTTATAGAGAAAAGGGAAAAAATAAATATTTGAATACTACTAAATCTACCACGTACCACTTTAACACGTTTACTAATTTACTTGTTATCTAAATATATATACACCGGTATTTAAACGGCACGCCCTTCCGTTAGGGATCTATGGAGGAGTATTACCGAGCCGCAAGCCCTTATCTCTTGCCGTACTGCTCCACCATAGGCCGATCAGACACCAGCATATTCTAGTAAAAGCCGCACATTCATCTAGAATTTTAAACTGCTGCGTTAGCCTTGTTATTTTTCTGTATACCGAGCTAAGGCTAGAACCCACATCCACTGAACCATTTGCAGTGAGCAGCCTAGCCCGCTTGTCTATCTGACTGATTACTTGTTATCTCATAAAATTAAAAAATATATAATAAAAAGCTTTAAATGTCTAGTTTAAAAGTAATATAAATTTTCCGAAATACTTTATTACCCATGGAGTGAAAGATAATATAGAGGATACAAAAAAAACACGATATAAGGAGATGGTACACAGATTTCATAGGGATGAAAGTTTAAGAAAAAATTTCAACTAAAGGGTATGGTAAGATCTGCATTTAATATTGCATGTCAGTGGACTATAGAGTAGGATTGTTACAATTATATTCTAACAAAATATAATTTTTTGTACGCTCATACTTCTTGGTTCAATAAAATAACTAATAGGGAACATCAAATACATCTAAAGAATAAACCATTTGATTACACCGGTTACTTTACTTACTTGTAATGCTCAATTACAATCAACGAAAATTACTCAAACTCGATATTATTTTTTGGCGTATTTTTAACCTAAAATATATTTTCACAATGACTTACGGTGCAAAGCATGCTGTGGATTGTCAATGATTCGTATTTGTCGGTCAGGCATGATCGGTTCTCCGTCAGGGCCACCCGTATCGGATGGCAACTGGTACCTGAAATAAACATTAAATGTTATGAAATTAACTTTTAATATCCTGCTATCGAGAAAAATTGTAATTAGACTAGATTTTTAATTTATGTTTAAATGATGCAGATTAGCAATTCAGCTATTTTGGCAATTAGAAATATATGTCATTGCATGACATTTATGTTATCACTATCATAATGTCGACATAAGGGTAGTTTGTAAACAGATTACATTCAAAAGATTAATAAAAAGTTGTAAACAATATATATATATATACCTTGTCTTGTCATCAATATTGATGGGTAATTAAAAAAAAATTAACGTACTAAGTTGATTTGAAAAATTTTTGCACAATTTATTACTAATATAATGAACTAACAACTACAAAAAAATATTCAAACTAATCTCTATTTGCCTGAATACAGCTCCGAAGTCTATTAGGCCATTTACCGAACGCTGTACGGGGAACATCCATAGGCAAATGGTACACAAGTTCTACCAAAAATACTAGCTTTTCCTATTCCACACTTATGAAGAGCAATGAAAGCGATATGGTTCTCTTATATAGTCTTATTATCTCAACCCTTAGTAATCATTTCTTCTCCCGACTCTAACCCTCACTCCTTTAGAAATGCAGACATTTTAGGAAAATGACAATAAAATCTCTCTCTGAGTTTGCTTCTCTGATACAACTGAGCCTGCTTCGATCTGTCTGATCTGGGTCTGAGTCTGATATGTATTGTTTATGATTGAAGACGATGTGTTTCAGTGTTTCTTAATCTGCTATTGTTGGTATATTCTTGTTGTTAATTTTTTCTTTTAGTATTGCCACACCAAAGCCTGCTACATTCTGCTGATGAGTTTTTGTTCATTAATTGGGATGAGAGCTGCTTCTTTGATTTCTCTCCTTTTCGTGTCTGTTTTTTTCACGATTATTGACGAATTTTTACATTGTGCTCTATGTTCATTGTCCCAGGTATATTGGCATATCTGTGATCCATCGAGCTTCCTATTTTTGATGTATGTTTCATGGTTTTTTATACTGTTTATCGTGCTCGCTTATCATGCTCGTTTACCATGCTTTAGATTATTGGAGTGAAAATCAAAACATCAAACTTTATATTGTTCTGAAGCTATTTTCTTGTGGCATTGTAAATTAATTACTATTTAACTGGGAATAAGCCACAATTAAGGATAAAGATACGTTTATTGACGTTTTAATTTCCACTTCGGAAATTGTTCTCAAAATACAAACAGTAAATTAAACAAATTTTGTTTTTTGTTACATAGTGAAAAATTCTTCTAATAATTTAATTTTATTTGACTCATTTATATTGACAATTCATACATACATTATGCATTTTAAAGTAGACGACTTTAAAATGATATTGCCAATATTGTTGAGTTGCGCTCCTGGGACGACTTTACTTATAAGATAGTTCATTCGATTACATGAAATCAACTTTAACTTGAGAATATCCGTCAGAAAAAATCATAGCCTGTAATTCGTCTTTAAAAAGACAAACACATGACATGATGACAGTAAAATTTTCCTGTTAGTGATTCCATAGTAAATTATGAGGGAAAAACCAGGAAAAAAACCTCATAATACTATCCCGACATTGTAAGTATTTGTTCGTGAATTTAGTTTACCTTCAACAAACATCAAAATTCGTATTTTATATGTTACGTTATTTCAAAAACATAAATGATGTATCCTCTATATGTTACTGACTTACTAATACTGGTATTTTCTTATTAATAACTTCCTCTTTCAATATTGGTAACCAGATCCTACTACATTCTGCCGAGGAATTTGCGACACAATTGGCCTCATTTAGCATATTTAGAGCCGCTTCTTTGATTTTTCTTTTTTTACCATCCGTTTCTTTTAGGACTACATTTGAATTATTCCATTGAAGCCTATGTTCATTATCCCATGCGTGTTTACATATTTGAGATCTATCAAATTCTCTATTTTTAATATAAGATTGATGTTCACTTATTCTAACATTTAATGGCCTTGATGATTCACCTAAATAAAACTGATGCATTTACAAGGTATTTTATAAATGCAATTCTTTGTCCTTGCTTGTTCATTGTTAGGTTTGGTTTTGGACAAAATAGATCTCAACGTGTTTTGAATGTTGAAATGTTGAATTTATTTCCTATCCTTTTAAGTTTTTCTGATAATCCTTTTATGTACGGTATTGTTATTTTCCTCATATTATTCCTTATGTATGCTGTAGGATCTCGTTCTAAGTTGTTCTGTTCTATTCGATCGATTGTTGAAAATTCCTTATTTATAAACGATAAAGGATAATCAGTTTTTAATAAAACAGATGTTAACAAATGTTTCTCCTCCAAGAACGAATTTTCGTTAGAACAAGTAATTTTGGCTCTATCGTATAAGGATTTAATTATTCCCTTTTTTAGATTAATATTGTGATTTGATTTGAAATTTAAATATCTATTGGTGTGTGTTGGTTTTCTATACACCTGAGTCTCATATCCAGTATCGTTCTTAGAGATTAAAATATCCAGGAAAGGTAACGTGTTATTCTATTCCTTTTCCATGGTAAATGTTATTGTCTCTTCTTTATCGTTTATATCATTTAGGAATGTGCCTAACAACTCTGATCCATGAGGCCATATTGAGAATACATCATCTACATACCTCCACCATACTGTGGGTTTGAAATTTTGTTTAGAAATGATAAGTATTTGTTTCAAAATCTTCCATAAATATATCGGCTAAGAATGGAGATAAACTAGAGCCCATTGCTAGACCAAAATTTTGTTTATATAAAATTCATTATTTAGTTGAAAATATGTATTATCAGTACATAATGTTAATAACTCCATTATAGCCGATATGTTTAGTCTTGTTCTAGTTGCCAATGAATCATCACTCTCTAATTTTGTCTTGACTATACTTAAAGTCTTATTTAATGGCACATTCGTAAATAAACTATTTATGTCAAAACTTACCAAAGTATTATTTGACTTAAATTCAATATTTGATAATTTATTTAAAAAAAGTGTATTTTTTATGAATGTGTCATTTTTATTTGTAAATGGTTTTAAAATATTTAATAAAAATTTTGATAGTTGATTACAAGGAGAATTCATGGTACTACAAATGGGTCTAAGTGGTATATTCGTTTTATGAATTTTCGGCACTTCATAAAAATGAGTAGTCTTACTGTAATGAGGATCTTTTGTTAATTTTGTATAAGGTCCGTTTCTTAATAGATCTTTAATTTTATTTTCGTATTGAATTTTATCCATTATCACAAATTAAATTATTATTTATAGTATTTTGAGAACGATTTCCGAAGTGGAAATTGAAACGTCAATAAACGTATTTTTATCCTTAATTGTGGCTTATTCCCAGTTAAATAGTAATTAATCAAACTTTAGTTAATCAAATAGATAATTTTAATTACAATCAATTGTGACTTATCTCCATATAAACACATATTTAACTTGGACACGCCACAAGAAAACAGTTCAGTATTATGAAATAAAAAAAAATTAGTTTGGCGTTTTGAACAGCTTCCATCAAACTTCTACTGCATTTTATATCGTCCGTTCAATTTGTCGGTCCAAATGTGCCTCGGAAAAGATCTCGTACGGTCTCCACTTGATTATGCGTTTTGTGTAGTCATCTAAACAGCTCGCAAGACCATTCGGCCTAGTTCCATTTCAGATGTCACTTACAATTTTCGTACTGCATCTGTTATTTTTGTACGACGACGTATTGGACGTATTTCTCCATTGGGAACTCGATCTCTTGGCAAAATAGCCAGCGCACAGAGTTTGATCGATTTTTGTGCAATACGTATTTTATTTACTACTTTCTTTGTCGATGTTAGAGTTTTGCACCATAGATAAGTACTGGTAATACGCTTCGAAATGAGCACAAAACCCAACAAGGAATGATATTATATAAAAGTAGTTGTCGAAAAAGAAAATAAACACATACCTAAATGTTTCAGAAGGACCATTTGACAGCGATGCATAAGATACATTATATTTACCTTTTGCTGATAAACCAGAATAGCAGAGTTTCATGATATCATAACGCACGTTATACAAACTTTTTATTTCGAACAGAAAAATATGATTAGCATATTGAACGGGTTTGCCAGCTTTTATCGTGAAATAAAGACACGATTGTTTTATGATCAGAAAAACATTATTGGATATTATAAAATGATTAGACAACAACTGGCAATACACAAATACTGTTGACTAGACATGTTTGCATAATTTATTACATCAAAAGATGCCGACTTTGGTGCAATTGCCGCAAACGTTAATAGGTAACACCAATAAATGAATCGTCCATAAAATTTAAGTGCACACACTTATCACATAATAAAAGACATACAATTTTATAATCTTTCTAACATAATACAAACCTGGAAGGCGATTAGTTAATTCTGATTCAGCCATGGATTTCAGACCCAAATACCCAAATTTGGTATACCCAAAAAGTTAGTTAAACATATATACAAATGACCTTTTAAGGTCACAAAGAAGTTGTACCAATAAGCTAACAGATGAATTTAGCATTGAAAATAAAGTAAGACAAGCGGAACAACAGCATTTTCTAATAAAACTCTGGAATCAATCGTCAGAAAATTAGATTTTACCGCCTGTATACATTCTGTTATATGTGCATAATACCAGCATATGGGAAATGAGTCAATACTCACAATCTTAAGTAGTTTTTATTATTTAATGATTGTAAATTTTGGGCTACCGGTTTGAAGGCTTACAATATATATGCCCCATCATCAGGCCCCAGTACGTTAGTCTTATTTATATTAAAAACTACAAGATATCATTTCCATTCAAAGCAAATAGATTGTTTGAGGGGAAGGTAGTTTTCAGGATTACATCACCCCCATTCAACTACATTAAGCCCTTTTTTCCCAATATCTGCCCCTAATTTCAAAAAGAAAGTATTGTATAAACTATTCTATTAAATCTCAATTTACACTCTCTTTACTCTGATTTCATTTCATCCAATGTAAAATACTATTACTTCCACTTTTACTTGACGCAGAACATTGAAACTTGCTTCGATCAGGTCTTCTTCTCTTCTTTGTCAATTGCTTCCATTTTTGCTTCCATCTTTCTCTATCTTGCGCCAATCTAATCCACTGTTTGCCTGCCACTGCTCTTATGTCATCTACCCATCTTTTTTGAGGTCTTCCCATGCTTCTTGTTGTCGTCCTTGGTCTCCATTCTAGAATTCTCCGTGTCCACCTGTTGTCATTATATCGGGCTACGTGACCTGCCCAGCGCCATTTCATTTTTGTAATTTTTTCCACAATATCCATAATCTTCGTTCTATGCCTTATCTCAGTGTTTCTAATCTTGTCTCTTAGTGATATTCCAAGCATGATTCGTTCCATTGCTCTTTGCGTTGTTTCTAATTTTTTAGCAGATTTTTTGGTAAGGGCTACTGTTTCAAAGTTTACCATGTTTTTGAAAAAAACATGGTATACTCACTATCTTGCATTGATCAATGCTGCTGCTTTTTCTTTTTGGTTGCCACTATCGCAGACAGCTACAGCCTTACTGGTTTCAGTTTTGTCATTTTCAGTATTCACACTCGCAATAGTAGTCGCGTTAATCTCACTGATTATTTTATATTTACTTAAAGCGTAATGCTTACGTTTTTGTCTATTGTTTTTTGGTAAATACTCTCCAGAATTGGAGCTAAATGTCTCAGCAGACATACTATTTACTGAAGAGTCACTGTCACTCATAAAAATGTTACGATAAATATGACTCATATCATAAGCTGTAAACATATTTTTTAGTAGGTACTATCCACGGGTCTCCTCCGCTAAAACCTGTCTTTCTTCCATGGCATTCGAGAAGGTAAAAGAAGGGTCAACGACCGATTCTAGGGAACTCCAGATAACGGTTATTAAATATATATAACGAACTTTCTATTGTAAACAGGAGTCTAAAAAGAATAATTGTATCGAGTCGAGTTTGAATTGAATTGAACGCGGGTAGTTAAAAATAAATGTAGTAATTAAATTATATAAAGTAGAATAGTGTCAGTGGAAAATAAATTAGTGTAAGATTATATATAAATTAAATAAATAAGGACTCTAATAAACTAAGTGTTAGAACATTTTATAATAAATAAAGTTAATAAATTAGATTTATAAAAGTAGTTCACTAAAATAAGAGATAATTTTAATATAATGTACTTTTTATCATCAACATTCACAAGTTCGCATCAAAAATATAACGAAACCGGTACATACTACCACTTTGTAATATTAACCTTACTTAACTAAACGGGATAAAACATGCACCTTCATATCGATATGAATTGAAAATGTCACATGAAAATCACTTTTTTACATTTTAAATTGCACTTAATTTGATCAATTTTTTGTTCATTGTGTTTATAAAAATAATGATACATAACATTTGGTTTTAACATGTTTTCAAGAATTTAAATACATAAAAAATAATTGCACCAGTGTTATATACTTAGGAAATATGAATTTAAGTAAAATTTGTTTCATTATCACTGTTAGTGTAATTAAAGAGAATATAGATAAAATGAACTAAAATGACCATAATTAAATATATACTACAAATCATAAATAACGTAACCCTAATTTTTCAGTAATTGTAGTTAAACACTATTTTCAATTTAATTTAACAAGTTTATATATTGCTATCATGTTTTATTTTGTAAAAATTCATAATTGATAAATAGTCGATCACTTTACTATATAAATAGGCGACAAATCACAATTAATTGTAATCGGAATTTATGTTTTGATTTCCAATCCTCTACACAATTTAGCTATATTTGAAAGTGTCTTCACCCAAGTTCTTATTCATTGGAGATTCATTCTTAGTAATAATTTTATAGCGTGATGATCTGTCTAAATGACCAAGCCAGTTGAGCCTTTATGAAATTAAACCTTGGTTGAATGCATGAATGAATCCACATAGAGATTGAAGAGCATAGGAGACAAAATACACCTCTGTCGCGCCCCTCTTAAAATTTCAAATTCTTCTGTGTTGGTTGATTTGTTCAGTCTCACTCGTGCTTTTTGATTCCAATAGAGATTTTGGACAACTTTTATATCTTTCTCGTCAATGTTAGCATTGTGTAGCATTTTTATCATTGCGTCATGTTTTACGGTGTAAAACGCTTTTTCATAATCGAGGAATGTTATGACTATATCCTTTCGTTGATCCAAGCAGTTTTGTACGAGGGTATTCAAGCAGAAAGCTGCTTCACGTGTACCCAGTCCACTTTTGAAACCAAATTATGTCTCACCGCTTAGATCTTCCAGCTTTCTGAACATTCTTGTGTGAAGGATGCGAAGAAACACCTTAAGCAAATGGCTCATTAAACTTATCAGTCTGTGGTTTTTGCATTTTGTCGCTCTTTGTGATTTAGGGATCATTATAAGGTAGAATAAAGCCAATCCGTTGGAATGTAGCCGGTGTTATATATGGCATTGAAAATTGTTACCAGTATGTCGATGTTATCATCTTCCAACAGCTTTATGGCTTCCGTAGTAATTCCATCCCGTCCAGGGGCCTTGCCTAGTTTTGCTACTTTTATAGCGTAATTCACCTCGGCGCGAATAATGGGAGGGCCCGATAAATTTTCCGTGTGTAAGTTAGTAGTTGGCAGATTCGGTCTATTGTCCGCAAAGAGGGACGAAGCATAGTCTGCCCAGATTTTAGCTAGTTCTTCAAGGGTATGAACGTAGTTTCCTTGATCATTCTTCAGGCGAATGTTATGTTGTTTCTTGTATATACTCGAAAAGTTCTCGTTTTGAAAATATCAGGGATGGATCGCAAACAAACGAATAAGTTCTCAAACAATTAGGAAACCAATGCGAAGTTTTATATTTCATAAAAATCAGGAAATTGGAATACTTGGGGCATATCATGAGAGGTGAAAAATACGAACTAATAAGGAATATAATGCAGGGTAAAATCAAGGGCAGAAGAAGCGTTGGAAAACGTAAAATCACGTGGCTACGCAATCTCCGTGAATGGTTTGGATGCAGTTCAATGCGCGCGCTGAACTATTCAGGCGCGTAACCAACAAAATTATAATTGCCAGAATGATTTCCAATCTCCGATAGGAGCGGAACTTGAGGAAGAAGACCCTAGGTATATTCATAGACATTGAAGGAGTGTTTCACATTCCCAACCATCTCCCAACAGCTTAACGTCAGGAATGTTCCCTTGGCCGTAAGCAAATGGATATTCAAGATGCTCTTTAATAGAGCAAGTATAAATGTAGAAGACGTTTCTGGTTAGAGGCATGGTTACGATGAGGTGTCCACAGGGAGATATGCTATCACTACTCCTCTGAAACATAGTTCTAGATACCCTGGTTGACCCACTCAGCAGCAATGGTTTCTACATAATGGCCTATGCAGACGATATTGCTGTCCTGCTAAACGGTAAGTTTGAGAACACACTATGTGAGAGGTTACAAGTTGCTCTCCGACTAATAGAAACATGGTGCAAGGAATACTCGCTATCAATAAATCCTAAGAAAACAGAGATGGTCCTCTTTACCAGGAAAAGAAGAATCACGGGCTTAATACCACAGGAAGTTAACATGGAACTCACACTTAGATGGTAGAGCTAAATGAGCATATATTGACTATGAGCAGTGTCGACGAACAGTTGGATGCACCTGGGGCCTTTCGCCCAGGATGATCGTCTGGGTCTACACTGCTGTCATAAGACCAATGCTAACTTACGGAGCTATTGCTTGGGAACCAAAAGTGATACAGGCAACAGCGAAAAATAAACTAAACCATATTCAGCGTATGGTTTGCATAACCCAAAAAGGTATAGCAGGGAAAACTATAATGATCTGCACAGATAGCAGACAAGCGCTACTAACCTTGAATACACCACGTGTCACATCAGAGTTACTAATGGAGTATCACGAGTCACTAACTCAGGCTTCGGATGGTAATACCATCATTCTGAGGTGGGTTAAAGGACACAATAGGAATAAAGGCAACCGCATTGCTGACCAATTGGCTAGGAACGCGACAGCCCTAAGACTCTTAGGACCTGGAGATTTTTATTTGGTCAACTACAACAATCGCTGAAATTGTCAAATGTCACTCCCATACGCAAACCGTAAAAAGATGGGAAGAAGAGCAAGGATGTAAACTTGCCAGGGTAACACTAAGTGACCTTGAAGGGTCAGCATCAAATAAGTACTTGGGAAGAACAAGGAAAAACCTACGCTTGACAGTTGTTTTTTAACTGATCATTGTCAATTAAACAAACACCTCCACACACTAGGGCTAGCAGACACACCTCTATGTAGAAAGAGTGAACGAAAAGACGAAACTGTAGACCATACGAAAGCATACGAGCAATACGAGAGTTCGCGTTCGGCGAGTCCTGGCCCACACCTGTCCACATAAGAGAGATGTCTCCTGGTGACTTGTCCACCTTCCTAGAAATGGCAGGACGGACAATTACCTGAGGGCGACAGCTCCCTGGGAGGATGCACAATGGATCAATTGTGGCCTAAGTGCTGTAAAACTTAACTCGCCCTTTCTACTCTACAGATACAGCCTTGCTTCCCCAGTGCAACAAACAAAACTGACGCAAAGCAGTCTCTGCATCTCTTTCTAATGGGCCAAGTTTATCGAGAACGTGACCTTTCCATTGGTCATTTAGGTTACGTGGTCGATAAACCCGGAACAGTAGAAAGAGATGCAGGAACTGGTTTGAGTCAGTTTTGTCTGTCGCACTGGGAGAACAGGGTTATATTGCAGCGCTCAGTTTTTTAATATTATATCTTTACGGTTGTAAGACACTGCAGGTTGTTAATGAATAACACATGTTAAACATATTGAAACACAAAAATACATATTTCTAAACAAAAATTTACAATTTAAGGAACTAGAATCTAAAATACAAAATACTAAAATAAAAGACATAAAACCAACCTTGCTGATTCTTCCTCCAGTTTGGATCGTGGAAAATATAACGGTAATAGAACTTCGTAAATACCTAAATCTACTTTATCGATAACAAATATCACAGTGTCTATCGAACTGCCGTGATTTTCGAAAAAACGTCGCACAGTACCTAAAAAGCAAAAGAACAGAATTACTAACATACTAAACAAAATAAAATACGTTTGTTAGGTTAATTGTATTTCTAGTTGGTACAGTCAATCATTTACTTTGCTTACGCAAAAGATTAATATTTGAGAGGACAAAGGTAAACTCATAACCTAATAAAAGCAATTAATTTAGAATTTATAAGAACAGTTTAGGGTTATTACCGTTCCAAAAACTCATTAAAATTTACCTGAAACAGGTATTTAAGTTCTGGAAGAAGAAATGTAAAAATAAGGTTATATCATATTCCTAAAGAATAAAAGTAAGATTATCAATGAATATAATATCTGAGGATTATAAATCACTATAGATAAAGAATAAATATATGTTAGGTTAAGTATTATAATATTATTAATAAACGGTATGATGCAAATGCTACAATATACTCTTGAAGCGAAGCTTTTATACTGGCGTTGTACTTTTTTTCTCTACAGTAAAATTCTGAGGCGTCACGGAATTAGTGCCACAAGATGTCATCTCATTAACAACAATATTGAATCATCTGTTAAAATTTTTATAATTATCGTTTTTAAATAATTTCATATAAATACAACTATTATTTTTAAACATATTATTTAGTTTATATTATAATTTACTATCAAATGATATTATTTATATTTCATTATTAATATTTGGCCTAAATTTGACAGGTTTGTCATAAGTAAACAGCGCATGCTTTGTTAATACGTTAACAGATGGCGTTAGGAGCAGACATAACAATTTATTCAATTTGTTTAAAGTGTAAAAAATAAATAGATAATAAAATGACTTCATTTAATTTTAAAAACTCCGCGCTAGTCTACAGTATCACCCACTTTTCTACTTTTTCTAAGCATGCAGAAAAGGCTTTCTATAGGAAACTGAATTCTACTATAGAAAATGAAAATACATTCTACCCGATCGAAAAAGAAATTCATGAGTTTTGAGAAAACCAACTTTCGACGCCAGCTACTCATAACAACAAAACTGGATGGATTAAAGAAACGATGAACAACTGTCAACATTACAGTATTATTACTTTAAAAACAATTTCTTAACTGGAGATCTTCTAGACCAGACCGAGTTCAAAACTTCCGGCTAAATAAGGTTTGGAGTGTTTATGAGTTTTTAACAATATCAATTAATAATGTTATTTCTAATCCGTAGGAAATACCGCCATTTCTTACTCAGGAAACCACTTATCTTATATCGAAGGATAAAAATAGCACCCAAGATCCAGCCAAATACCGCCCAATTACTTGTCTTCCCAATTTGTACAAATTGGTCACATTGCCCCAGCGTATCTACCCACACTGTTCTCTAAACAATATCATGGAGCGTCAACAGAAAGGATGCGCTAAGGGTTATATAAGAACAATTGACTCAGTCATTTCTAACCAAGCGTACACCAAAAAAAAAAACATTTTTATTACCTGCATTGACTACAAGAAGGCCTTTGATTCAGTACTTTATGAATAACTGATATGATGGACATATAATGATGGGTGGAAGACTAAAATTCACTTTCAAATACCTGGTGAAAACAATATAGAAACTAAAGGTATCCCAATTAACCGGGGACTTTTGTAGGGGGACTCGTTGAGTCTACTTTGGTTCTGCTTAACGTAGAACCCACTAACTCAGTTACTGAATTCCAGTGACTCAGGTTTTAGCATCAAAAATAACAATACTGTTGTGGAGAATAATAATCATCTGCTGTTCATGGATGATTTGAAATTAATGGCTTCTACTCGAAATCGCTTGGACCAGATGCTAAAACCAAACATGTTGAAATATGCAGTTTGGACTGGATAAGTGACGTGCTCTAAATATAGTCAGAGGAAAGGTTTAGCCCGGAGGTTTGCATATGCAAGATGGTCTAATATCGAGGCAATGGGTGAAAATGATTTGTATAAATATTTTCTAATAGAGCAAGAGCGGAAAATTGACCATCAATAAATGAAAACCGAACTAACTTTTGAACTATTTAAGGCATCAGATACTTTTGCGCTTAACTAATTATTTGATATTAAAAAGTGGTTAATATCGGATATAGAAAGTCTTCAGTGAAAAGAAGGAACACTTCCCACAAAGGCGCAAAAAACCATTCACAAAGTGCAGTAGAGATAACAACATTACCGCAATATCAATGGGAAAGAGGACTTATGGACATAAGTGAGCAACTGGATAAAGAGATTGCTAATTTAAGAACCTATTTTCAGGCGCAGGCTGAAACATCTACTTTACATCGAGCAATTTGCGCAGTAAATGATACAACGCTGCTTAAACCAAGGGGACAAGAAATGCGCATAAACCACCTGATTAAGCAAGAAAAAATGCACATCTGGATGAGTAAAAGTCAGCATGGGCGACATGTCAATGAGATCAGCCAAGAATATGTCGACAATACAGCGACAAAATATTGGTTGATCAAGAAAGATGTTTCCCAAGAGAGAAAGAGAGAGAATTTCCTACTTGCCATTCTGGATCAGATTATTTTAACTAAAATTAAGCTGAAATATAGTGTTAAAGATCCTCAAATCCAAAACGACAAATACAGATAGATATAGATGGCAATCCCAAGAAAGCATCCAACATCTTACCGGGGGCTGCCAGCCGCTTGTCGGCACTGATTATAAAGAACACCATAACTCAGTAGGAAAGATTATTCCCCAAGAACCAGCTAAGAAACTGGGACTTCCCTAAACCGACCATCTTCCTTATTATGTCCCTCATAAAATGCTTAAAATGATAACTACAAACTATACTGGGACCGCACTGTGATCTTATACTAGTTGCTAAACTTACTAACACTGCAAACAACACTAATATAATGTGGCGATACCTAACAACAATAATCTGCGTGTTAAATACAACGAAAAGATCGCCAAGTACAGAGATCTATAAGTACCAATAAGGAAACCATGGAGAATGGAAAATACCCAGACAGTACCTATTATTCTATCTACTACTGGTGTTATTCCGAAAAACCTCCTAAAGAACATAAAACAGCTGGGTCTTAATGAACATCTCTATAAGCGTGCGTTCATAACGAGGACCCGACCTCGCTCGAACCATGGGATGGTATCATTTTATCGATTTTCGGTAAAATAAATACATTATTTTAAATGCAAGCGTTCACCGCCAGTGCTATGCTCTAGGCGAGGATACGATGCCATGGTCTCCGTCATGAACGCACCCAAAGACCATACAGAAAGATCTACTTGCGACGTCCAGATGTCCAGGAACATTTTTGGTAGATACTCCAGCATACTAAACTACCTAGGGCTCGATAACACGGAAACAGCCTCACTAGAGCTTAACCCTTTTGATACCGTAGGTATCTGGGATGCGCGAATTTTCCCCTTAGAGGGAGTGTGAGCCGTACGGCTAAATCTGGAAATTAATCTAACTTTAAGCTTTGTGTTTGTTTTGTTTGTATTTATGTTTTGAAAAAATGAATTTTGTAAATGTTATTACTCAATAATCTATGTTAGGATAACCATGTTTTAATACAGTTTTCCAGTCTTTTAATATATCAACTGTCTTTTTATTATCAAAATTATCTTAGCAATAATTTCTTATAAAGTTGATTTTTTATTGATATTATGTACTATTTCATTAGGAAACGACACTATTGACAGAAAACCGAACTTTTCTATATAATACAATGTAAATTGCAGCAAAGTAGGACTCGACGGTAGGCACGTTTTGTCAATGTGGAAGGGGTATCAGTACGGGTTAGTCCAATAACTTTTGTCATTTTTCTATTTCTATTTCTAAAAATCGTGATAAACCGTTTTTTATCCCTAAATTTTTTTTAAGATAATCACCCTCTTCCACTTCTCGACCTCAGGTCACCCGTAAACGATTTTTCCATTTATTTGTGATATATTTTCTTCCTTTTCCAATGGATTCCATTCTGTTACTATTGTTTTTTCACCTTTTACCATTTTTAAATAATGCCGCATTTTTACCTTGTTTAGGCTCGTGTAACGTGAATTTGCATATTGCCTTTCTCCATGACTAAATGGAGGCTATAAAGCAGAAGTGGCAGAAGGATTTTTGACCTTTTGGACGACGGTTGGACCAAGTACAAGTTCCATTGGGAAAAAACATTCATTTTCAGATTATTCGCGTTTTTTTATTTGTTCAGGACTAAATGGAGGTTGTAAAGCAGACGTGGCAGAAGGATTTTTGACCTTTGGATGCCGGTTGGACCAAGTAAAAGTTCCATTGGGAAAAACAGTTATTTTTAGATTGTTGGCCTTTTTGTTTTGTTCTATTTAAAGGCGTGGAGGATATCTGCGGCCGTAGTCCATCAGGACCATTTTCAAAGGTTTTGGCCTTGATTTATATCACACTTAACTAACATTTATATTATGTGCGTAATATTTTCTTCTTAATTTTCAAACTTCTGATGATTGTGACAAAACAGGTTTCGAACGAGAACCGATAACCTATTACTCTTTAAAAATAACTAAAATCAGATGAGGGATGTGTATGCCAATTGTCACGTAGTACTTGTACATCAGCATTTATTTTATAGCCAAGTTACGCAAATACCATACTGAACGAATCAAAATATTACCAAGAAGAAATAAATGCGGTTAATATAATTCTTTGTCAAACCAAGTCTGTACTCGATTGTTTGATTCATAATATTTATATTACATTATTTTAATTTGTTTGATCAAGACTATTTACCCAATGATAACAAGATTGTTCCTTGTAAACATTTACAACTAAAGTTGACAAAGTGTTCAAAAGTAACAAGAGATTATTGTCACGACTAGTTTATTTTTATATTTTTATAATCCGTAACAAACAGTGTACAAACAGTTACTAACATAGTAGTTTGAGTATTTTTAAAATATAGACCTACACAATACGTAGAAATCTTAAAAATCCTGAAAATAAATATAAATCGGCTATACTTTTACGCAGCATTCTCAGGCGTCAAGCAAATGGCGTTACGTGTAATAT